GCGAGAGAGTTGACTGTTGATTCCAATTTTTTGGTATTCACATTTAGAGTATTCGTAGGTGTATACACACATTGTCGCTTTTTTTCTCAAATTCATGATCAAAAATGTACTCAAAAGAATTGCTTGTTGCCCTAGATGCATATGCTGTAAAATTTATAAAGCTTTTATGATGCTGCCTTAGATGGTTTTCAGCCCCTTGTAACATTTTAACCGTTTGGTGCGATATTTTGTGACTTAGCATATTTCTGTTTTGCATTCCTCGACAAGGAAACCATATGATTCCAAGTGCATGCTGCAATACTCTCAACATAGTGGTGAGCTGAAATGTAAGCACTACATGCCGCGACAAAGCAAGAGACCAAAATGTCTGAAAGAGCTGAACACTCACTAGATAGTGACCTAGAACATTCATTGATCAAATCTCTCTAAAAGACAAAATATTTGGAAATTACCATGAATACTCAGGGAACTTCCGTGCTATTCGAGATTAAACTGAGATCTTACAAGGTGTAATTCATAGTTTTTCAATTTGTTCATACTCGTTTAGTTTAAACTGTATTTTCCCTGATGAGATCAAGTGGTTTCAGTTGACCGCAAATCTAACGGAGCCTATCGTTCATGAGGAATGATGAAACGGCAACTAGTCCCGTGTCATGGAAACTATTATCGAAACTGCACTGTTACAAGCCGAAGCTAAAGGAAAAGTTGCGTTTCAATCTGCAGGCCTCAAAAGAAAAAAGAAAAAAATAAAGATTAAAATCACTGAAACCAAACGAGAGCTCTTTTTAGGTACGGTTGAGAGGGCATCTTTTTCTCTGACTGATCAATTTCGACTGTTCGTCCCTCAACGTTGAGAGGAAACAGATGCTATACCAAAAATAAAAAACACTGAAAAGAAATAGGGACGTCCATTTGATTTCTTCCGTTCCTCGTAATGTTTCTTTGATAAAGTAATTCAGTACTTTATGTTTCTCACATTATCGTAATGACAAAGAAACACAACGGATACCAGTGGGCAAATAAAGATTGAGGAAATCATTTGAACATTTCTTCTTTTTCTTCTTTAATTTTCACGTCATGCCATCAACTAAACTGACCACATGAAAAATCCGGAAAAATAGCTACGAACAAGAATAAAATTATGAAAACAAAACAGAACAAGAAAACAAAACAAAACAAAACAAAAAAACAGCAAAGAAATTGGAATACTTTTATTTAGCATGTAGATATATTTTTCAGCACTGATTTTAATCGACTGACAGAATAGGAGCGATTCGTCGATTGACAGTTATCGTACGCGTCTGTATGCAAATAAACTTTACCGAGTTTATTCGCGTTCAAAATGATAAAAGTTATCTCTCTGATGAATTGACACGGTGCACTTGTCTCGAAGATAACAAGTTAGTCTGAATATCCCGAGTTACGCTGGCTGAGTTGGCTGTTTTTGATTTTTTTTTTTTTTCACCTGTCAGCTATAATCTCATGACCTTATCTTTAGGTTAAAATCATTCCTCCATTATATGTGATCATCAAACCACTCTCTGGTTGGCCTGTCATAGGTGTTAGCGAAACAGTAAATATGGATAATTACAACCAAGGCATAATCTTGCTTCTTGTTTATTAGGTTTTATTGTTTTCTCGACTCGTTTGTGAAGCCGATAAACCAAAGTTTAATTTTTGCTCAGAATTTACGATGCAAGCGTCAAAGGATAAAATCAGCAAATTATTGCTTGCTGTTTCGATTTCATTTTATAACGAAGTACAGGAGCCTTTTTCTAACGAAAGATTATACTGTTATCTATCGTTTATATAGAATTTAGATACTTACTGAATCAAGGAAAAAACCTATTAGGAAATGCGTTTGGAACAAAAAAGAGAGCGGAGAAAAAAAGATATATTATTAGATAAAGAAAAAAAAGAGAGAGAGAGAGAATGAAAGAAGAAGAAGAAAAAGAATTAGAAAGAAAAAGTGGCAAGAGTTGTCGTTCTCAATCAAAAATTTTGTGACGTTTTCTGTGGAGGTTGCATTCGAGTAGTAAAATCTTTTCTACCATCATATCACTGCAGAAGTCGTTGATATTAAACGTGTTGCCAGAGTTATCTTTATTAAAAGTCCGTGAGATGGTGCAGTTAATATTCGAAGTTAAGCAAATAATTCGCAGTTAAGATCGGAAGAAAAAAAGGGGCACCTTCGTTAAATATATTATAGTGCATTGATATCAATCAGACATGACACTACAAAATACATTATTGGGATATGATGGTTAATCCATTTATTTTGTCTTTGTAAGTGCTAAAGAAAGCTCAATGTTTTACAGGGTCTGATTTTAGGGCTTCATATTTACACAGTGTGCTCCTTTTTTGTTTTTATTTTTTTTATTTTTACATGTACTTTGTTCTGACAACCATCTATTTCTTAAAATTTTGATTAAAAGATTGATGTTTATGTGATAATTTGTATTTTATCCAATGATGATGCATATTAGCGATCGCCATAAATCAGTGACAATCTTGCTGGCTAAATAAACAATGGACACCGTTTCATTGTATTCACTATTATGTGAATGTGGTTAAGTAAAAAGTACGCGGAACGCGTTATGCCCATTTTCAATACAGTATGCGCGCTTGTTCAAAACCTGCTCCCTTAGGATATTGTTTTGAGCTCCCGTATGCTAATGTAGCTAAAGCGCCTTAAGTATTTGAAAGAAAGACAAGGGATTATTAACTAACTTGTTGTTAATAACACAGCTGAATATCTTTTCATGTCATCCGACCAGATTTCCAATAACAAAAGAAGTGTCTTACTTGTTGTTATGCGGTCTTCTGACTCTGTATGAAAACCACTTACAGATCCCGTCAAGCGCGCAAATCAACTTGTATTCAGTATAGACGGCTGATCGTCATCCTTCACTTCTGTCCTGTAAGTCAGTCTGTTTTATAGAGGTTAACTTTAGCAATGACTTCAAATTCAACAATCACTGCTAAACAAAAGATTACTAAGTTGATCTGCATTTTGTTGTTTGCTGAAGTGGCCTTGTTACTGTTTGTACAAGCACGGACTGGCTTGTACAATGTTGGTAGTCCAAATGCTTCACTCCGCAATGGTTCTCAACTTTCACCAGGAGTTAGAGACTCCCTCGATCAATGGAAGATATTTTAGTTGACTTAATTTAAAAGTACTTAAAGTATAGTTTTTAACGAAAGCCGCTTGAATACCTGAACCAAATATTTTGACTTAAATATTATGAATCGCATTGAAATTCAATTAGTAAAAGATTCTTTTCGAAAAATGTATATCCACACTGTTTTTTGGCCATCAGAATCAGGGGAATATACTGAACATGATCGGCAACCCTAAATGTCCATTATGAGCTGGGCAATTATTTTTTCTCAGAGTCTTTATTAATGGCATCGTTTAGCTTCAATGCGCTTTTACTTTATTTCAGTTGCCATTCTTTCGGCTTGTCATATTAGCAAAGTTATTAGGTGCAAAAAATAATTACTTGGCTTTGTTTTGTTGACAATAATTTCATTGGCTGTGGAACAATTCGAGTCAAATTCAATTTTGGAAGATCCACTTAAACGCAAAAGGATTTCAGCTGTGCAAGCCGAAACGTATGGAGCCGTTTCTAAAACAACTTGGCTACTTTAGAATACTCTTCGTGCCAATACAATCCTAGTTTAAACGAGATGCTGAAAAGCACTTACAGAAGCCCATAACCCGGAGCGTGCAACTCCCATACTTAGCATATGCAACGGCCTTTTCACAGATCAAGTTGTTTTTAGCATCGTTTTTGACAATTTTTTCCAGCGAAAATGGAAGTTTTCTAGTCCAAGGGACAATAATTACAAAAAGAAGAAGTAAATGCTATCAAAACATCAGAAATACTATTTTTCTAGTCTCCGGTTCATGTTTTGATGACTACAATGATTTGTAAGACTTACTCTATCTTCCCAAATTCGCGGGAAAATCAACCTAAAAATAGACTGATTTTTGAAAGCTTCGTTGCATGGGCACAAGGGAGTTGCTCGCTCCGGGTTCTGGGCTTCAGTAGGCACTTACCAGTCTTACAGCGTGGAATCAGTGTTGATAGCGTCCTCTTTTAAGGTAGTAGGGGCACTTGCAGGGACAGGGAGGCCCAACTCAAGATCGGGGCTTCAATACCTTACACCACTCCCGGCTTCTGTCTCTTTTCTTTGTTTCCTGTCCCTTTACCACTTTTTCGATTTGGAAATATAAGCGCTGTTGCGCAATTTCCCCCCATTTCTCCTGTTTCCCTCCCTTTTACAACTTCTAGCTCCAGCTCTTTCTTCTTCCGCCTTCCGCACCCTTACCAACCCCTGTTCTCCAAGGCTCGTTTCCCCTTGTTCTCTTTCGCTTCTAAGGAATTCCAATTAGACTAACATGCATGTCAGTTACAAACAACACGCTATCAGCTTTGATCAGGTATGATCTCTTAGCAATTAACAATCATCATAAATTAACTGCACTGATTTATGCCATACTTTATTAATTTGTTTACTTCTATAATAACAGCCATTTGTTTGGTAGACGAGGGGTAGAAATAAAATGCAAATTTCTTGATTATAAAATTACATTATTTTGTTCGGCCTCATCCAGAAAATGGCATATCTACATGTACTAAGGACAATTATTATTAGATATAAAACAAATCAATCAAAAAAGTAATCTCGTCTCCATCTGTACCGTTAACCTACGTTGTAAGAAATACCGGTATTACTAAAAAAAAAACTGCGTTGCAACTAGTTAACCCTTCGGGGTTATATGAGCAGTGTATGAGTAAAGTTTTACACAGGATAGTGTAGTTTATATAGTTTATTCTTTGCGAACCTAAATTCAAAAGAACGAAACAGGTTAACTTAAAATGTTGACATTTTTCGTTTCCTGAAACCATATTTGTTACTCTGGGATTTCAGCGAATCATCAAAAGGTTTATGTAAGCTATATATTTATCCCAATATTCTCTCTAACAGATACAATGTCCAACACATCGGCAGTTAACACTACACAGCCCACAGGGCCTGGTGCTGAGGGAGGCGGATTTTTTACCCTTTCCAGGGAGTCGGTCATTGTGGCCTGCTTCTTTTACGCAATCATCGCTCTGGTAGCTGTGTTCGGTAACCTGATGGTGGTGACAGCGTTTTTTATTAACGACAAACTCCGCACGGTGACAAATTATTTTGTCCTTGGATTAGCCGCCGCGGATATTCTGGTGGGTGCGGTATCGGTTCCCCTGTGGATGTACATTCTAAACCACTACGCCGAAAAAAGGAAGTTTGATCAACATTTCAAGAACATAAACAAACTTTACCTTGCCTTGGACAGCTTTGCAGGGATTTCGTCCATCCTTCACCTCATGGCTATTTCCATGGAGCGCTATTTTTGCGTCGGTTGGGCTGTGAAGCACCGTAACCTGCCGAAGTATTTTTATTACATTGCTTTGTTTATGGTTTGGTTGGTATCCGCCTTTGCATCGTGCATCAAACTCATGGTCCCCAGCGTCAAACAAGAAGACCTTGTACTGTTGATCTTTGTGGTGTTCTTCCTCCTGCCGCTGACCATCATCGTGGTCTCGTATGCAGCTATCTGGAAAATAGCCATGACCCGGATGAACAACAACCCAAGTAAGCGCTCATTGAAACGTGAAATTCGCACTGCAACGACGATAGCCTTTGTTATTGGTTTCTTCTTAGTTGCTTGGACACCGTTTTTCATTTCAAGCATTGTCGTAACGTACTGCCCACAGATTGACTGTCCTTTCAGCTGGTCCGCTACCATCCTTTTCAAATTTCTTCATTACTCCAATTCGTCAATTAATCCCATTGTGTACGGAGTGCGAATACCAGAATTCCGAAAGACTTTTAAGTTCATTTTAAGACGCATCTATGGACCAGTACTGACACCATGCAGAAGATAGAGCAAGAAAATAGAACAACGCGTAAAACAAAAGGAAACAAAAACCAAAACAATCTAACTAGTCAACACTGAGCATGGTTAAATTCTGTATTCAGTGCTAGTGCAAGTGCTTTGTTTTCTATTTCTCAAGCCCTCAAAATTATTCAAACGAAGTTAATACAAAAAAAACGGTGACGAGTGAATAGCCTCTGAACGCAGAATTTTTTCCCGGAGAAGTGACGACCGGAAATACGTCTGCGTTCGCGGGCTAAAGAGTGAATAGCCTAGTAGTTTATTCTTGTGGAAGTAATTAAGGTCCTACGTCACCTTATGCTTCCATGGTCTTTCCTGCTCTTATGATCTTTTTATGTATCAGTCATGTTAAACCGTTTTTCTCGATTAAACACCGGGCTCCAGATTATCACGAGGGCTAGAGGTGAGCTAAACAGCTGTTGAGAAAACTAAGGTACTGGTAAAAAGGAATGTTTAAAGACTGCAAATTCAAACAAATGCTAGGGGCTTTTGATTGAGAAAATAAATACCGTTTATCCTTATGCTAGTTTTTTGGGGTGGGTAGAGGAGGAGGGGGGGGGGGAATTCATACGAACAAGGGAATTTATACCCCCGCCTTGGTACAAAAGATTGCAGTGGATGAAACAACCCTCTTGATTTTTTTGTGAATTATACCAGAAGATGTAAATATAGAGCGTTTCATTGGCGTGAATAGCTATTCAAGTTTATTGGAACAAGAGAAAGTGCTGTCAACTCAATACGACATATCAAAAAATAAAAAGAGGTTGCAAATCCCGCAACATTAGTTAGGGACACCAACATATGCATGGCTGTCCTATAGTAAACGGACACTGATTTTGACGTGACGACATTCGAAAACGGTCTTTATAAGTAATTTTCCAATTGCTCCAAGTCTCGTTTTCAAGATGACAATAAGTGCAAAATTTCTGAATTCTCATTGAAAAAATTCATTTTTCCATGAAAAGGGATTGACCTCCTGTTTGAAAGTGAGGGGTTTAGGAAATCGGCGAAGATATGGCACTCGCTTGAAAAGTGTTACGTCATCCAATATGGTGGGTAAGACCACTGCCTTGGATCGACTGAAAAATTCAAGTTGTTAATTGATATAGAGTTCAAATTTTCAAACTGTTTTTCTCAAGGATGACATGGTTAAAATTTATAATCTTTTTAAAAGCACTTTTTATGTTTTCAGAAAGTCACATGCGTTGTTTTAAAAACATGGCTTGGCACTACGTTAGTTTTAATTCCGAAGACGTATTACGCAACAACGACAACAAATTGTGACCAAATTTTGTAAATTGCTTCTAAGGAATAAATAAAAAACTTCCAAGGAGAATATTCCCTGACCCAAATTCGTTCTTATGAAAAGGTGGACAAAAAAAATCAGTCCCTTCACAGAACACCGGATCAATAAAATATGCTGTACCATCAATTTGTATGAAATAAAGAATGACTAGACTGAAATAAAAAATACAGAATGTAAAATTTTGTTTCAAGCATTGAAAATACAAATGTACATACTATTGTAATCTTTTTAACTATAGAATCATTGCATAGCATAAAACCCGCTTTAATTTCACGTTTAAGCTTTTTTGTCTTATCTCTTACTATTTGGTGCTTTTGTTGCAAAATTTGTTTTTATTTTCTTATTCATTTTTTAACTATATTACTTATATTTTCAGTATCAGTGATTAGAGTGGTTTTCGTTTGAGTGTCGTAAAACCAAAACCAAAGTAATTACTCTGGCCAATCACATAGGACACAGACAATACATTGAACCAATCAAAACTCGAAGTAATTACATGTCGCTGACGCAAAAGCGCGGGAAAATGCATGCGAGCGCGTCACAATTGGCTTTGGTTTTACTTCTGATTGGATGAAAAGGTGGCGCGAATCTTTTAAGCCAATCGCATCGTGTAGAAAGTGCAAAACCAATTACTTTTCGACACTCAAATGAAAACCGCTCTAACATTATACAAACCAAGTATAATATAATTTATAAATTAATTATTTCAGATAGCAAGCAGCGGGGATGGCTCTAGGCAAATATACGGTCATTTTATTTACGAACTTAGAAGTCAAAATTAATAAAATTTGACAATTGAGAAGGAAATTACTGTATCATTGATTAACGACTACATGTACATGTAAACTTACGTCAGCAGTTTATTCGCTTGAAGGGAAAAATAGAATTCTTTAATTTATAGTAGCTCGGTATAACCAAAATCGTCACCAGGCCTTGAGATTGGCCTTACTTTGCTACCAAATATTGATAAGAAACGTATTAAACCCAAGTTTGAATAAAAATTACGTTGGTCTCAACATTTCAGGGCCTTGCTACGTAGCAAATGGTTAGCGCAACTCTGGCTGCAATCCTTATCTGAGTTACCAAAGTGCGGAAAATGTTTGGATACAATCTATGCTAGCTACATAACTTCAATAAACATAATGCAATCGTTTCCTCCCATTGATCAATCCTGTTTAACTTTCAAATAACTTTTCAAAAACCAACTCAGTGTTAAGTGTTTTTGGCGAATTTCCCTAATTTTGCCTCACGTGGCGGAACACACGAAGGCCATTACTGTTTCCTACAGAACACTGTCCAACATCCGAGGGAGATCTCTTCCTCAACAGAATAAAGAAACTGAAACTGAATTTGATCAACTCATCCGCGTGGAAACGATTTTATACGATACGTTAGCCCTCTTTATCGCGGAGCTCCACGCGCACGCGTGTAGCCCCATAGCTAAGTAAATCTACCCACCCTAGAAAATTTGGTAATCACGTGACCCTACACAGAGCGACCGAGTGACCTTCCGACCGACTGTCGGTCCGTACCACAGGCATACCAATGTAAAATAACTCAATCAACAGGTATGGCAACCCAAATACAACTCGCGGTTATTTTGGCGGGAAATCGCATAGCCACCCCCGTCTTGTAAAGCAGAGACAACTAACAAGTCAAAAATGACGAAAACGGAAAGCGGAAATTGTTTCTGTATCCGTGTTGCCTCAATCATTAAGCTTAGATTAATTGTCATGTCCACAAATTTGGAATATAGAGCAAGAGAAAGACAGAGAAGAAGAGAAAGTAGGCGGCAGGCCAGTGAAGCTCAACGAGAAAAAAAACAAAGAGGACATTTTTTTGTTGGAAGAACAACATGAAAATGTTGTAGCAGCGGTGACAACATGAGAAACGCTAGCGGCCACCAATGCAAGGAGAAAAAAAAAGTGAACGAGAACATGTACGATATTTCCTCCAAAAAACGTGTAACTAAGAAGTTTCTGGAAGTTTCACATGGTAGTCGCGCAAAACAACGGCAAAGAAATGTACAGAAAAAGTGTGCTGCACGTACAAAGTTGTTTTTTTTTTGCTAATTAGACCTATTGTTGCTTTTCATCGCTCTCCGGCGTTGCCTTCGCCGCTTAGCACTACGCGATTTTATATTTTGTCTATAAACAAACTTTAAACATTATCGAGATCTTGGCTTTTAGCCCTGGCTAAATCTATATATTATCTTTATTGGAGGAGGTTAAGCCCTCTCACGATCGCAAAATGATGAGATTTTTAACATTAATAACTTATTTCCGCCAAAACGTGTAGTAGAATGACGAAGGCTTTAAAGTTTTCCCGCCAAAATGACGCTGGCTCACGCGCGAGCACTATTTAGTATTGAGAAAAACTTGAACTCGTAGTCATACTCGGCTTAGAATCTGGATCTCTACTATCCATCTTGGAGCCTGGAACAGGCTAGAAAATTCCTAGCCTAAATATCCTACCAGCCCATTGAAAATGCCGCTCTGCTATTCATCCTTAAAAGCGAAAAACGAAGTACACCAGGTGCTGTCAACTTTGACTTAAGAGAGCACAGTGTTTTTAGAACTAAAATGCAAATATGATGAGGAACAAAAGATATGCATTCATGGTAGCTTAACGCCCTTTTTTCCTTAATAGTAAAATTGACTCAACTACATGTTTGTAGGTGTGACTTCTTACAAGAGGCGGTTGTAATAAAAGTACACAAATTCCTTTTGTGCTCAAACATATTTGTTAGTACACCTGGACAGTTGCGTTAACAAAAACAAGGTTGCGGCTTCAATTACGAGATAAAACGAGCTGGTGTTAAGTCATCAAGAGGTTCGCCTAACGCTTTTGAAGGAACCTTGTTAAAGCTTCTCCCTCTGCAATGCGTTGTTTGTACCTTTTACTGCTCTTTGCTTTGGCGTATGCTCTTCCTTTTGAAGATGGAGATCGCCAAAAACGAGGTATTTTGTTGTTACTTTTATTATAAGTGTCATCGAGATGACAGTGTTGAAGTAAAGACCTTTTTTTAGCAATTGCAAACGTCTAGGAATCCGTTTTCATGTGAAAATAAATATTTTATTTCCATTTTCCAAAGAAAAAAAAACTATCGTCGGCAAGACAGGACTTTTTAAATTCGTTGCGAATCTTTGATACGCATCCGTTCATGTCGGGAACGTCGCCATAGTATTGAACTTCTTGGTTAGGTCTGGACCGCAATTAAAGTTGCCCCACCAGTACCACCAAGCACTTGCTGTTCTCTAAAAATATGGCCATGCAAGCTGCGGTGAAGTCGTTCTCTGGCGTGCACAATCAGGCCCGTTTCTAAAAGGCGTTTCCAAAAACTTTAATTTGCACTCAAGATCAAGTAAGTATTTGGGTAAGTTCCTCTTCACCGGAAATACTTGTGGAAGGATACGAAGTAAGACCAATCTAGAAAAAATTATCCCCTTAAGCACAAATACCAAAATGGATACTCGTGGACGGGACATTATTAGTCACAAAGAAGCCTGCGTAACGAGCGCACAAAAAAAAAAACTGAAAAAATAATAACAAATATGATATTAATAATAACGACAATGATTATTAATATGATTATCATGGTTGATCATTATCATCACCATAATCATCATCATCATTATTGTTGTTGCTATTATTGCGCGTGGAAGATGGCAAACGCCGTTGGTCTATAAATTGCTACTGTGTGAAAAGCTGAACTGTGATTGTTCGTGAAAAATCCATCATTGGCTTACTAGGGATGGACTGAAAATCAATAAAAGAATTAGATCGATAGCCTACCAATGCAGTCACCTCATCGGTCTCCATCGCTTGAAACGTCACCAGCAATGTGGATAAATGGCTGTATTCGCAAGCTTTTCTATAGATAGTTTTTAAATGTACTAGTGATTCATACTCGTGTTCTGTATACTAAATAATTTACCGATTCAGAAGGTACCAAAAGTCGCCTTTTTGAGGGAGATATGATGTTATCTGAGGAGGAGATTGAAGCGGCGGAGAACGGAATGGACCCTACGCAAGTTGGTAAACAACGTGGACTGAGCAATTCGAAATATCGCAAATGGCCTGGAGGAGTTGTTCCTTACACCCTAGACAAAGATGCAGGTAATTGCTTCAATTAATTACAATGCCTTCTTCTTCACAAAACTTCATAAGTTCAGAGATGAAACGGCATTTCATCTACAAGGAAAAACCTAAGAGCCACAATGAGACAGAGACTGTCCCATTATGACTCTTGGAAAAACCTGAGTAATTTTAACAGGTAAAGGCTTACTTACCCTTCCATATAATTACATTCGTGCTGCAGGGCTCGTGATGAAGACATGTCGCAGGTATTTCTATCTTTCTCTTGTCTTCGAAAGAAAGCTTCCTTTAAATTGTCATCCTCCGCCAAACTTTTCAAAATAAAGTAGGTCCTCTGCAAGGGGTCAGTCACCTGGTACAATACCGTGCCATTCTTGGACCCACTGGGACAAGGAAAACAAAGAGCCGCATTTCATTTAAAATAGAATTTTCTTCGTCCAGTCCCAGAGATTTTGTTGCTTCCCAGGATTACGGTTTTCAGCCACGTGACTGATTACCTACAAAGGGCCTATTTGCATGTACTGGAATAAAAACATATAAGATTCGAACAAAATGAATCCTTTCCAGCGGTGTACAATATAGATTTTTTTTTACATGTTTTATAATTAACTTGAAATTACAACTACAACCTTTTTAACTTTGAGACTTTTTCCATGCAGATAGTGTTTTCAAGAGGGGGGCCATTTTCAGTGCCATCAAAGAATGGGAAGAGAAGACGTGCATAAAGTTTGTAAAAAGGACAACGCAAAAGGCTTACATCGAGTTCACTGTGCAAGACGGGTAGGCAACAAAGGACATGAAGCTGAAATGGTTCCAAATACTTTGTTAGCTTTGTTTATTTCTTCATTTACCATCAACGTGAATCAACTCAGCTGTCACACGTGGACGCATATTACATTTTTTTTCCAACCAATTGTGCCAATCAGACCGGTTTATTTTTCGAGGCGAATTTAGAACATAACAGAAGTCTCGAAAACCGGCAAAACAAAACCATTCAGCAAAACCAACGTACAGACCTGGGAATGGTATGTTGAAGTTTAAATGCCGTTCAGTTTTCTGCTTTTATATCTTATGCTTTGAATGTGAAAAAGGACGGAGCGACGCTTCCATTCATAAGGGAAATACTGTGATAGAATTTTACACTGCAAAAACAAAAGACGAGTCATTTTTATGTCAAATCTTTTCAAAAAGCCGTATTTTCTTTATTCTCGACCATACATTTTTTCTTATCGTTAAAGTTTACATTCCAACGAGCTACCATAGAGTCTGAACTGCCAGTAAGGTAGTGTATTTTAGGGTCTGTTTACATGGAGTTAGGGTACCCCATATGGGTGAGGTAACCCCGCTTAGGGGGGGTAACCCGACTGTCCATATAATCTCTCATTTTAATGTTATCACGTTTACATGTTAGGTGGGGTAACCCGCCACATGTTACTTCACCTACCTGAGGTCCCCCACCTTCATGTACACAGGCTCTTAATCAATTTTAAAGCTATTCGGTCCCTGCGTAAGTGTTGACTCATCGTCTGACCTCTGTGACACGCAGGCCTCTCTAATACAAACACTGATTCTTAGTATTTTTTGTTAAGATGCTGGTCACAAGTTGGCAGAACTGGACGGAAGCAGCAAATTTCGCTGGGTTTCGGCTGCGGGTATCATGGGATAGCTGTACACGAAATTGGACATGCACTAGGTAGATAGTTACGTGCCTTAAATTTTGTATTCATCGTGGGAAATACTGAACTTCATCAATGAGCTGAACGCTTACAATAACACCTTTACAGATTAAAAATCACACAAGGGAACCCGGGGGTATATACTCCCTCTGATGGCCTATACGGGGAGGCTCTGCTCGAAAGGAGTATCTTTTTCATGCTTCCGGCCGGTATATGAGAGGGTAGGGAAATCTGTCATTTCCATCCGGCTACAAAACGATTGTATTGCCGTGAAAAAGTCGAGAAAATTTTTTTCTTGTTTTGTGATTTATTTAGATCTAAAGAAAGTGTATTTGTAGCAGTTGAAAGAGATGCACGGAGTTGATTCTTCCTAATTTTCTAGCTTATCGGGTGCAGAAAAAAAACAGCCTTTCGGCCCTTCTCCACTCAAATGGCTGTAAATTTTTCTTTTCAAATTTCTTTTTCGAAAAATCGGTACGATATAAAATAATATTAAAACATGAGTATTATATACTAGACAGACTAGTGTCAGTGTTAACGTGTCTCCTTTTTTGATTCTGTAAAAACATTTCCTGCATTTTTAAAGCCCATTTAAATCTCACAGGAAAAAAAATTGACCCGAAGTAGACTAGTGTGCTATTACTCCCCATAAACAGGGTTTTGGCATGAACAGAGTCGACCAGATCGCGACCGGTATGTGGAGATAATATGGGACAACATTGAAGAATGTAAGTTGACAAAGATTTATTCTTGTTGCAATATTAAATTTGTCACTTAAACCGTATATATCAGGTCAGTTTTAATTTTAACTTTGTCACTTGATAATGATCCGGTGACGACATCGAAACGTCGTGCTAAACTTTTTTCGCTTATCTTTATTCTTAAATTAAGGAGGACCTTCCTTTGGGCGTGGTAGAAGCTCACTCACCCCTAAGCGAGTCGACAAGCTAAGCACTCCTAACTTACTTCAAATTCTGTGGAGTTCCACGCAACCCACCAAATTATATACTACCACACAAAAATTTCTACAATTTGATTGGCTTAGAGCAGTGGTATTTCAGCTTAATTTAAAATACCTACCTGTGAAAATTACAAACCTTTTGCGGGTAGTAGACAACAAATAATAGCATGATTTGTACGTGATATTTGGCATAAATACCAATCGTGATATTTCAAAATTGTCTCAAATTACGTATAACAATATCGAAATATAACTCGTGGTATTTATGCCAAATATCACTACAAATCATGCTATTACCTGTACTAATACATTAATGTGAAAGACACTAAATTAAAAATAATACCACGAGCGGATGGTTTTACTTCATCCGAGACATTTTGAGATCGATTATGTATCTGGAGTCTGGCCTGGATAGCGTCGCACCAGTGGATGGATAGGATCTTACCTTCGCGAATAACTCTTGGATCAAAGGACTACATTTTTTGTCATCGTTACAATAGTAACATTCATAAGTATTTTCTGCTGGTGTTTCTGTTCTTATTAATTATTTTATTTTTGTTTTTGTTGTTTTTATTCTGAACAGCGCAAAAGCACAACTTCAGGAAGTACTCTACATCCTCAATCAACAGTCTGAACGTTCCCTATGACTATGGATCCATAATGCATTATGGGAAGCGAGACTTTTCCAAGTTTCCTTACCTCTTAACTACTATAAAGCCCAAGAGGTCAGGTGTTTCAATAGGCCAGCGGAAGCACCTAAGCCCATTGGACGTAAAACAAATGAACTTGTATTACGAATGCAACAAGAAATAAATACTGACGACAGCCGAAAATCAATATGGGGAATGCGTTTTCTTATAGTTGCCTAATCCCACCTGGCCCCAGTTGTTCAGAAGGTAGATATCGCTATCCACAAGATAATCCACAGGATAAATCTCTATCCAATGGATAGCGCAATTGGTTTCCCTTATACTTATCCACTGGATGGTGATTTATCCGTTGGATAGCGCTGTCCAGCTCTTGAACTACTGGGGCCAGGACTAATTTCACTTGGAATTACATACCCTGCATGTCGATATTCAAGGAGGCGCAAACCGAAAAGCATACTAAATCCTAATTGTCACTGACATTATTCCACAGTTTAACTGCATTATAACTAATCGAACTGGTTAGCAAAGCTCGACGACTGATTGAAAAGTTGTAATTCCAAACCACTGCTTACCTAGCCTAGCCCTCTCCCACCCCTTTCAACGCTTTCCAAGTTAAGGCATGGGTTGAAAGGCTAAAGAGACCCCCCACAGAGAATGCAAAGATCCTCTTTAATGACAAGGATCCAAGTAAAGGGTTCCACAAAGATATGATAAGACATATCTCACTAAAATAGTTTTGGAAAATTCATCCCAAGCATCACGTGACAGTCCTTAGACCATGACGTCACAAAATCTGTTTTCTCAAACGGGGCAAGGTTGTTAAGTTTCACCCTAAAAATACTTGTCATCAAATTGTCAGCGAAACTGTCTGGATTGTCAATTAGCCTTGCAAGATGGATTAAAGCATTTTTATTAAATTATTTTATTTAATTATTTATTCCTTTTATTAAAGCATTTTATTTAGTCTTTTATAAGTCAAGTGACCTATTTTTCCTTATTTCGCAATCCTTGCTCCACTTAGGCATACATGCAGGGCTATTTCATAATATCCAGGCCATGGAAAAAACACTGGTGCCTAAGAATATTTACTGCTCTTTCATTTCCTTTCCCCCGTTTTAATTTGAAAACTTCGAACGTTAACGATCGTTTGCAACAATGAATATGTCACATATTGTTAAGGCCACCGAGCTAAAACTGTTTGCCAAGTTTCATGACGACTGATCAAACTAGAAATGCGTTTCAAATGGCACTTTGCCAAATTATGCAAATTAGGACTGAACCCATTCAGAGAAAAGGATGGAGTCTTTCAGTGGTGTTCTCAGAGCTTTCAGAGCCCTTCTTTGGCGTGACCATTAATTCAAATAAAGTCATTTTCGCAAGCTTCGCATTCAGTTTTCAAGCATTTGACAAATCCAAATTGAATTTTCTTCTTTGGCCAGTTATGAAAATCATTGAGAATCTGATAAAAGGTTTAAGCTCAGTAGAAGGCCTGCTGTTACCAGTAGATTTTAATGTTTTCATGGCCTCGACCTTCCAAGCTCGTGAAACTGCGCAACTGACCACGGGCTCCTCAGCTGCGAATAAGACAATTATCCTTTTTTGCTTTTATAGCGAGTACATTCTAAGAGACATTTTTCAAGAAAAGCTGTAACTTAAAGGAAAAACGGATTAAATCAAATATCAGTATATCTGGACATTTGAAATCTGGATAAGTCTGGCAGGGTGGAAAACAAAAAATGTTATCAGTCGTTAAAATGGTTAAATATTTTTATACCCTTAATTTTCTGCTCAATAATTATACATCAACGCACAGACATCATACCTGTTTGCTCCAATGAAATTATCAACTAGAATTATTGAATTCGGCTTTTGTATGATGTGAAGAATATTATTTTATTATATACATACTGAGAAATACTCACCAAAAAGCTATGTCGTAAATTTCCGTACGCAAATTAGTTCAAGCCAATCAGAGGAGCGAACGATGGTTTTCACACGTGGAAAAAAATGATACGTCCAATCAGAATCGCGAACGATGTTTTTTCACGTGTGAGAAAAATGATACGTCCAATCAGAGGCCACAGAGGTGTGTGAGTTTCGCGCCAAAATTCCCGCCTTTTATTGCAGCTTTCAGCGCCGCTTCGCACACATTCAATGAGAAAAGTTTTACTCAAAGAGTTTTTCTCGCTACAAAAGTGAAAAACATTTCGGAAATGGAGTGGAATAGTTTCGTTTGTTTCACTGTCGATAAAGAAAACGGTAGAGAGCCGGCGAAACAACAGTGGAAAGGGAAAAACAGAACGAGACGTAAGCTTTTGTTGTGCTTTTTGTCGGAGCTACTTTGCCTTTCATTAAGCTTAAACTTATATTGAAACCGGCCATTTTACTTAAATTCACTCATTTTCAATTGTGCATTGACAACTCAAACAGTTAAGATTACTTATAGTTCTTGGATTACCTCATATCCTTACCGTCATTTATGTTTTTAACAAACGTTTTTACTAAAAAGCTGATACTTCGTTTTCGTTGTCATTTTGCGGCAAGTGTGTAGCGGCAAATAAGCATTTTTGAAAGACTTAAAATAAAAAGGCCGCCAAAATGATGAATGTCTCGGTATGTATATAATAAACACAATACCACATGGAAAGTGCTTTGTACGATATTTACGCACTCGTTGTTTTTGTATCAGAAATCTTACTCGTTCGCTGCGCTCACTCGTTCGATTTCTGATACGTCAACAACTCGTGCGTAAATACCGTACGCCAGCACTTTCCATGAAGTATTCTCTATATATGAAGATTGGGTCGTGGAAGTGGACAACAGCCAACACGAGTTCAGCATAATTCCTTCAAAATATTTCAAAGTTCTTCTTAAAGCTTACCGTACCCCGTCGTAGCCTTTCTTCAAACCTGTGGCTCATTTCTCGGTACCGAGTTTCAGAATATAAACAGATGTTTTTTTTTTCTTGCACTGAATGCTCCTCAAAGAGTTTATAACATCCATCGAGCAATAGAATGTGCGTGTTCTTGATTTCTGACCCGTTTATAGCAGCCTATCGAATCGAATCGATGTCATATTGCTCGCCTCTTCCTAATATGGTAAGTGTCAGTACTAGTGCATGTGGTTATTTAACCATTATTCCACGAGTGTGCGTTAGATAAGAGTTAGCTATAATCATCTCATATCCATAAAGCATCGGAATAATTGTTTTATTCAAAATGCCCACAAAATATCGAGGATTCTTCCCGACTTTACTTGTAAAAACAACCGCTTTAATTTTCAGCTTGTTTTTGATCAGACGCGTACAGTTACAATATATGGAGACCATGGCATAATGGCTCATATACCATGATTGCTAAGCCAATGAGAGATCTAGAATTGGATTATCCAATTGTCTAGTTTTTAATAATAAGAATAATTTTCCGGGGGTTGGAACCACCCCAAAACGGCGAAATATTTTGAATGAATGATGGATTACGAAATAATTGTTATAACTAACAAATTATTTTCTCTTTTGACTTTTTTTGATGTAAAATATTTTTTCGATGAAAATTGCAAAATTTTTATTTTAAAGTTTGATTTCGGTGACCTGGTAACAGATCAAGGTTGACAGCTAATACTGGGACTTGTAATGAAGTGGTAATGGCTGAATAATGTCTCTAGTAGGGCAATACTGAAACAGTTTGTCTCCTATTGTCAACGTAGCCATCTTTGTTTGGCTTTATATGAATTCTTCATTTAGTCAACTGCAGCGGTTTTATGGATTAAATAATAAAATAAATTGAATTTTGTTGGTGATAATTAAAAAATATTAACAGCTATACTCAAAGATTTAGCAACTCTTTTGAAACAAAAAAGGTCGAGCGTCCAACGTTTGTTCAGGCAAACCATTTAATCAAAAGATTTTTAGATCGTGTGCTATAAAGAGGNAAATATCGAGGATTCTTCCCGACTTTACTTGTAAAAACAACCGCTTTAATTTTCAGCTTGTTTTTGATCAGACGCGTACAGTTACAATATATGGAGACCATGGCATAATGGCTCATATACCATGATTGCTAAGCCAATGAGAGATCTAGAATTGGATTATCCAATTGTCTAGTTTTTAATAATAAGAATAATTTTCCGGGGGTTGGAACCACCCCAAAACGGCGAAATATTTTGAATGAATGATGGATTACGAAATAATTGTTATAACTAACAAATTATTTTCTCTTTTGACTTTTTTTGATGTAAAATATTTTTTCGATGAAAATTGCAAAATTTTTATTTTAAAGTTTGATTTCGGTGACCTGGTAACAGATCAAGGTTGACAGCTAATACTGGGACTTGTAATGAAGTGGTAATGGCTGAATAATGTCTCTAGTAGGGCAATACTGAAACAGTTTGTCTCCTATTGTCAACGTAGCCATCTTTGTTTGGCTTTATATGAATTCTTCATTTAGTCAACTGCAGCGGTTTTATGGATTAAATAATAAAATAAATTGAATTTTGTTGGTGATAATTAAAAAATATTAACAGCTATACTCAAAGATTTAGCAACTCTTTTGAAACAAAAAAGGTCGAGCGTCCAACGTTTGTTCAGGCAAACCATTTAATCAAAAGATTTTTAGATCGTGTGCTATAAAGAGGGCACTTTTCTGATCTTTCGTCGCACTCTGAACAAGATGTTGTTCCTGTGCGTTTTCCTTTTTGCGACGTCATCTCTGGCAGCCAGCTTGGATGATTATGATGTTGGTAACCGAACCAAACGAGGTAGATAAATCAAATTTAAAATTAATCTGTTCCTCTAACAGCAGAATTATTCGTCTAGGCAGTTTTCACCCTTCACGACACCACACCGCTCGACGGGGCAGCTGTGGGATCTGGTCAAGTAAGACAATTCGATTCTTTTTAATTGGCCCCTTTGAAACGACATAGATTGTGAGGGAGTGACGAGAGAGCTGGTTCATCGGCTGAACAGGCGCGGATTCACATTTTCTGATTCACCTTTTACCCCACCCGAGTGCAAGAATGAGATCAGTTTTTCTTGAAAACCGCAGAATGAAAGAAACGGCCAGCCAGGTAATGTAACCATTTGACTAAAGGACCGCTATGACCTAAGAAAATTTTGTTATCCATCCATCCATCCAAGAAATTTTGGCAATCACATGACCGTGCGCT